TCTAGCGGTAGTGAAGGATGCGCTACGGAAGCTAACACGGCAACCCCCATTGTAGCAGCGCACAAAGCCAACACAAAAAAAAAAAAAGGTTGGACGGTTCTGAGCGCGCTACTGTTGGTGTACGGCATCCCTTTCCGACGGTCCTACAGAAGCTGTGTCGTAGTCTATGAATAATAACGCCGTCCGAAGAAGCTTAAAATAACGCAATCATCACCTAGTGACTAACGGGTGCACTACCTATTTAGTTGGTAATCTTATTCTTAAGGTTCTTGACAGGTACCTACTTACTTGAAGTAAATATCTGTGCCAGTTGTTTCTGTTGGTTTGTATGCTGCATCTTGAGATGATAGACTGTGCGTGCGCTCGGACGTGGATCCTTTGCGCGTTCTGGATCTTATTGAGTACACTAGCATGTATTACACACGTGTGATACCCCTGATGGTGATCACATCTGGAATCTCCCCCGATCTGAACTCCATCCCATGTGAATAATACGCCTACCTTATAGTTCTTAGTGTATGCTGCCCCTCGCCCCTGTAGCAAAATCTGCAGACTTACACATATACGTACAAATACTTATAGTTAGTTACCTACACTAGACCAGGTGCGCTACAAAGCTTGACGAGGTAGATATCGGTATCTCTCTCACTGAAAACTATATGTTCTACCTCGATATACACGGTTACGGAGCCGGAACTGGAACTTACCGTCACACAATAAGGACCGAGTTGCCGAATGCAGTCGAGCTTCCCACAGGGGCTAGGATGGTTGCATCATCTCGGGCGGACCAAGACGCTGGGATACCAGCCGCACGAGTCAGCTGCATTCAAGACCGATTTCTTCATAATAGTTCCCACCTATCACCTCGTTACGTTCCACGGGCTCTGTACGAAGCAATGCAACATTGTCCACGATCATATCGTTCGTCCTGTTCATATAATCCCCCTGCTGTTCTAAGCGTTTCCGAATCGTGGAGGCCGAAGCTATTGAAACTAACCTTCTTGTATGTTCAACGACAACCGAGCAACTTGGGGTTTCCTCTCGCGCAGCATGCCCTATTACTTGAATCGGCCACAGTAAGCGGCTAGGATATGATCCGAACGTGCAAAACTAACTGCATAAAAGTCTTACACTATATCGATAAACCAAGTTCATATTGTACTCCGCAATGTTAAATGTCCCACCATCATGTAACCCACAACGGGGCACACTATCGGATTGCCTCTCTTTTGCGAGAATGCACTTACTTGAATAAGGCTTTTCTATCACTTCGGGGCCTTATAGTCTCCCACCATCGTCGATAGCTTCTCTATAATATCGTAAACCCACCAAACCCGGCGGAGAATGCTACACGGTACACGTAAGCACGCAAACTAATGTGCGAATATTATGCTGCGACGCCCCCATCTCATCAGCTCTCTTAGAGTACTTGAACACAGCAGTTCTCTAATCTCTATTTAATTGGTGCTCAAGTGGTGTAGGGGATCGTCGTCGATCTTAGATCTGCTCCGGATTGCATAGCTGATCAAACAGCCCTATCCACGATCGAATTTTTCTCATCTCATCATGCGTGTTGCTCAGATTGCACTGTCGGCCCTCCTCGGCTTACCACTTGTCTCTGCCAAGCCTTTAGCTACCCGCAGTGACGATGAGATCCTTCAAGACCTCAACAACCAGGCTTTGAGTGCACTTGACTCTCAGAACAATGTGTCAACTAGCGTAGAGAAGAGGTCAACATGTAATCTGTCTAACGCCACAGTTCGACGTAATTGGTAAGTGACCCATTCACTATGCCTCCAATGTTTCAGCTAAACACGATCTTATTAATCATCGTTCAAAATACTCATCGTTCTTGATTGATACTTTCTTGAGCCTGGCCCCGAGAGAAGTGAAAATGAGCTTACTTCACGCACGCTAACATTCTACGTTCAAACAGGAAGAATCTCTCCTGTGCCGAAAGGAAGCACTACATCGATGCTGTGAAGTGTTTACAGACTAAGCCAAGTACCGCTGATCCAACATTTGCTCCTGGCGCCAGAACTCGATACGACGACTTCGTTGCCGTACAGTATGTTACCCCTGGAATAATCTTCTTCTCAATCTGTTCACTTGCAAGCCAAAAGTTATCCTGTTAGGGCAATGAACATGTCTCGGAAGCATGGAGGACCCCCAGAACTCATTACCACTTTACCTTAAAGAATAAGTCCTGACTTCAGCGAACTATAGTATCAACCAGACTTTGTCTATCCATGGCACTGTAAGTGATGTGGAATGTAACGATACGTGAGTGTATATCACTAACGAATACAAGGGAAACTTCTTGACTTGGCATCGTTACTTCACATATGCCTATGAGACAGCTCTGAGGAACGAGTGTGGCTACACCGGCTCCCAACCAGTGCGTACCAACTACCCCGTATTTCCTCAAGCACAAAAGCTAATTTCTCCCAAGTACTGGAACTGGCTCGAAAACACAGAGGACCCGAGCAAATCACCGCTCTTCGATGGATCCTCCACGAGCTTCAGTGGCGACGGTTCCTACGTCGCGCATAACGGCAGCGTGAACGGAAACGGCTATGTCTTCATCCCCTCGGGTAAAGGCGGCGGCTGCGTGACTTCGGGCCCCTTTGTTAACTACACCATCAACCTGGGCCCCGTGGACCCGATCCAGGACGGCATGGAGCCGGCGGCGGACCCCCTGGGATACAACCCGCATTGCCTGAGCCGCGACCTCAGCGCCTTCACGGCCACGCACTGGCTCACGATCCAGAACATCCTGAACGTGACCACGGGCCGCGCCTCGGGCTCCGTGTACGACTTTCAAAACGAGCTTCAGGGCCGCTTCACGGACGGGTTCCTTGGCCTCCACACGGCCGGCCACGGAGTCATGGGCGGAGTCTCGGGGGATCTTTTCGGCTCGCCTGTTGATCCTGTCTTCTTCCTCCACCACGCCATGGTCGATCGCACATACTGGATATGGCAGGCTCTGCATCCCTCTCTGGCCGAGACCCTTGGCGGTACCCTCACGTTGTTCAACACGCCTCCTAGCCGCAACACTACTGTTGACGACATCATTTACTTGGGCGTGAATGCACCCGAGAAGAGGATTGGTGATCTGTTGAACACTCTCGGTGGTGCGCCCTTTTGCTACATTTACCTATAAGCGAGCTGGGAGGACTAGTTATTTGGGTGTAAAAGAGAAAAAGCGTCGCGTTAGGGGATTGAAACTGTTGCATGATACCCTTCACAGTATACAGAGTATATATTATTATTATTATTAAAACGGGCTCAGATGGCCTCGTTCTAGGTAGAACACGATGTATATTTAATGTACATGCTGTCCAATATTTAAAACGTGTGGAATATGTCATGAACAGCTTGGCGCTTAAAGCAATACTCCTATCAAGCCTACCCTTCGACACACATTGAGGCGGGATGAGTGCTGGATGCCCTGTTCATGAGCTGATCTTGGCATATTTTTAAAAAAGAATTTCGTGCCTCATTTGCCCTCGTAACGCCTAGGAAGCGTCTCATAAAAAGGGGGACAACTAACATGCATCCAACAAAGGTTTTCTTGAATTGCACTCGGTCAAATTCGTACACAACCAAATTATTGATTATCTGAACATATTCCATCGGTTGGAGGTGTTATGCCGCTGTTGATTACAGCCGACTGTTGAGCTTCTCGCCTTTGCACGAGCTCCAACGGTAATTATTGAGTTAAACTGATTTCATCGCTTTGCGAGTTGGAAAGCTTGCTGATGTATGGCAGAACATACATCATTGCTCTCAGATAAGTTTGCAACTTCTACTGCAAATATCAACTGATCATAGTAAGGCTATATCCCTTACTGACGAGTCCCGAGCAAAGACTCATCCTCCGTCGCTGCCCATCACTGTATACGAAACAATATGAAGGAAACGCCTAAAAGTAGACCATAAGCACGAGTCCCTATGCCGTTACCTCTCCCATCGCGACCTGACTTTTTTTAACTTATGCGGAGAGCCGCATGATTTGCCTCGGAAAGTACAGCCGAAGTATCTGGAATGGACTGCGGGTTGAAAAGTGTTTCTTACCAGGTAGTGTATTTTGCCTACTCCTACCCGAAAGGGGTTCAACTTGTGCAATGCGATTAAGCAGCGAAAGAACGTAAAAGGCGCATGGAAACCACTTTCCATTTCGCGCCCTGTCTTTTAACAATTTAGGGGCATTAGGAACCCCAATGTCACACGTAGCAAATACGAGGCTGCAAGTCTTAGGCCTTTCCGTACGCATTACACGCGCTGAAACGCGTTTTCCAGTTCGATTTTAATATTATTCCTAATGTCATGCGTGAAGCTATTCAGCTTTCGCTTAAGTGAAACATAAGCGGTAAAAACGGAAGTTTACCTAAGAGGCCCGAATTATATATAGCTTTTAGCCAAGCCACCTAAACGGAAATAAACCCAAATAGTCAAGGTCTTAAGCACTCCCTAACAGATTATTGTATGCTGAATAAAGCTAATTCCAAGCCCTGACACCAGTCCTTGTTATACCCAATGCATCATCGTCGGCCTGTGAATCTCCCATCAGCACAAGTTAAATGTCAGCAGGAAAATATCTGCAGAATAACGTTTGATCCCAAGATATTCGAACTAACTTACCATAAGCTAAAAAGCAAAGCTAGACGAGATAAACATTAGCTGCCAATAAAATTTGAGATATTAGTCTGGGAAATTCCCTAACGTCAATGTACTTGATTTACAAGAAACTGAAAGACATAATTAAACCTGTAATAACAGAGAGAGCCGGGTCTCGACTCGAAAAGTGATAAAAGCTATATAGCTGCTATGCAAGGCCATGGACTTTGAGCTTGAAAGTATTTTGCCTACTTGAAAAAGCGCTGATATTAAAGAAGGCATAATAATTCATTCATGAATTCTCTCCAAATTTCTGGTAGCGTTTGTATACCCTTTTACCCGGCCGGTTGCTCACAGATGAACTTGAGAAGCAACTGACCGGCCTCGTGGCCCAATGGCAAGGCGTCTGACTACGATCGAAAGTACTCCTGAACAGCTGTTGCCAGCTGCAGGTCACCTGATCCATCAGGAGATTCTGGGTTCGACCCCCAGCGAGGTCATTCTATTCTCTCCTTAAGTTTTAATATCAGCTTATGTTTTGACCGCACGTTTAAAGTAGTGAAACTGGGTTTAAATACCTGGACCATACAGCTACTACGATTTGATTCGTTTTTTGTCCTGAGGTTAGGGGTTACAAGTATAATATAGTTGGCATTAATGAGTCTCCAAAACAATGTCTTGCTTTCCTTTCTTTTCTCCTAAGCTTCATGTTTTGTTTTTTCAGCATGGATCCGTCTTATTGTGTCTAGCACGCCAAAAAAAAAAACTGATTGAAAAGTTCGTTTAGGTCTCCTTGCTTCTGTTCTTCACTTTCGAGTCGCTGTCTATATTACCTAGTATTGTCAGATATAAGCGATCTCATCGTAAGTGGAATATTGGTCAATGGAATGTCCAAAGAACACCATCATGGGGCACCTTTACAGCACGAAAGGCGTAAATACGAAGCTACGAACTTTCAACTTATCTTCCGAGGGTACCTTAAATTTAGATTCTATACCTAGGAGCCTGTGCATTAGAACAACTTAGCATGCATGTTTTATGCCTTTCAGGAGGCTTGGGTTTTTAAGGCCCTCATAAAATTAAACATAATCCATTACCTAAGCAGTAAATCCGGTTTGAACCTGTAATTTGACATGTCGCTCTATTGTTAAAGTAGTGTGGCATTGTTCACTGGTAACTGACGTAGCGCTGCGAGGGGTGAAAAGAACAGGTCATAGGTCACATATTGAATACTGGTCCACTTGATAGCCTGAAGCTAAAAAGTGATCGAGTATCAGATACAAGTTGAAGGTCAAGAAAATGAAGATTGATGTTTTCAAGCATCGCGAACTTTAATTCAAACAAGTCATCTATTCGAACAGCGGTTTATATGGATCGTTTCCGAATCTCAACATCGGTGTATACAGAACATCTTAGCATAGCTTATAACTTTCGACGCAAAAACTTCAAAAAAGGCTATGTAACGCCGTCACTCTATGCTCCTGATGTGGGCTCCTGGTATAATACAAATAGGTTTGCTTTACACATTATGCAGATGAAGGAAAGTCGCCAAATTCAGGCGGTTGACAAAGCCCTAACTTAGTGAGAAATTCAGTGCTAGTATCAATCAAGGTGAAACCTAGCACGCGGCGACTTTCAAGTTGAGCTGTCTTCGTCGGCTCGTACGTCGCAGATTGCTCGCATCCTCGTCCTCCGATTGTTCATCTGCGAGATTCATATTGGTCTGCAATACAGGATGCTTTCTCGGCCTCCCTGGGCCTCGTTTAGCAAGGCTGGTCTCGCTTGGACTGGTGACCAAGCTCTGACAGGGTTTGGCAGTGCTGACATATGCTGGTGGTGGTTTCCGACCTCGGATTTTAGCCTCTTCTTCCTTGCCAAGAAATCTGTGAATAGTTCGATGATCAAGAATGCGTTCCTCTCTGTCCGTTGGACCCTCCTTTTCAGTCTTTGGCCAAGAGTACCCGTAGAGCTTCGAGTGTCGTTCGCATCGGAAACACGAGCTTCGAGTGAAATAGGCGTTTTGCTGGACAAATGCTTCACCGCAAATAGTGCAGTGGATCCAAGCCATATTGGGTTCGGAGAGGAGAACTGGGGTCAGAGTGTAATCACCAGGCACGCGTTTCTTTACAACATGACTGGGCTCATCCGTAGACTCGGCTACTGCGCGTTCTTCACCTCGCTTTGGTCTACCCCTCGCTCGTGGTCGACCACGAGTGGATTCCTGATCTAGCGTTTCGAAAGACTCCTCGGGGGAAGGTATCGGGATAGGTAGTGTTTCTTCAGAAACAGCAGTAATAGAACTTGACAAATCGAGAACAGACGAAATCTCGTCTACTTTGCTGTTGACTGTCACAAAAACCGTCTTTTCCGCAATGGTCTCGCTCGTGGTTGTTGGGGTAGCCTTGGGTCTTGCTTGCGCTTCAGTATTTGCAATAGGAGGCATAGACGGTGTACGTGATAGATCGGAAAGCGAAGACAATTCCGAATCTTCCTCTTTCAACGCTAGTATTCGCGGCCGGACAGGTGTCAATAGTGGAGATCGTAAAGCTATTTCTTGGATTTCCTCTTCGGGTGTTGTCACGTCGGTCATCACCATTGCATCGGGACTCGCGGAATCAGAAACTGAGGGTCCGCTGGAGCTAGATTCTTCGCTGCTTCGTCTTTCCAGTCCATCTGGAGTAGGCATAGGCTCTACCTCATATTGAAGTGTCTTGAGTCGCTTTGCCGGTGTGGTCGGAGGTGATTGTAGAGATTCGTATTCTCTTTTACGTTTCTCTCGAAGAATATCATGAGGAGCGGGAGAATTGCACAGTGATTCCCGCTCCGAGCCACCGTTTTGCGTTTTCGGTTTTGTTTTTCGAATCCGGGGCCGAATATCCGGAGTAACCGAGGGCGTGCGAGAGCCAGATGCACAACTGTCGTCTCTTCTTCGACGGCGTAATGAATATCCTTCTAGATTTGAATCTTCGATACTCTTTTTTAGTGCAACAGTGCTGCCGCCGTGCGCCCAACCATTTGCGGCATTCTCCTCACAGGTCCTGCACAGGCACTCACAATTGTCCTCTCCGAAGTAGTTTTCTGCGTATGAGACTGTGATCTCGTCGCCCACATCGATATTTCGGGTTGCAACAATCTCAATGCCCGTCTGGCCGGTTATCATCAGACGAGCATTGGCGTCACAATCATGGTTTGCAAATCGAGCAGGACCCATGAAAAGAGCAGCGCATTTGTTTCTGGAACTGATTACAATGCTGAAGTCCTTCTTCCTCTTTGCCAGCTCCTTATCCTCCTTAGCAGTGATCATAACCTGAATCCCTGAAAGGTATTTGATTGGCTGTCCCTTTTTGATATATTTGCGAGCAGTTATCGCCGCCTCGTGGCTATAGATAGTGTATCGATTGGTTGAGGACACCTCAAATGGGCAATCAGGCAGCCATATGCGCATGTACCGACGAAGATGGGCGCGAAAATCGTCTCGCTCCTTTGGTGTCCTGAGCCCATTCAGAAATCGCCGAAGACCATCTGTCGCAAGCAGCTCAGACTCGGCAAGCTCAATGTTGGGATCTACAATTAGACGGGATTGAATGATCTTGGAGATTGCTTCTTCTGTGATGCCCCTAGAGGCATGATAAGATGGACGATTCTTGGGAATTGTTGTCCAATAGTAAGCCTGGAGCATGTCGATATTAGCTGCCGCTCAACTGGTGGTACTAAACCAAAGAGCCACATGTGCCCATCAAACTCACATGGTCAACGAGGGTATCTGTGAGGATATCATCGTAGGATGACAATTGTGCCAGCGTAATTGGTGGCTTCCTTGTCGCAGAGACAGGGGTAGGCATGGTCGCAAGCAGAGACCTTGAATTGCTGTCCAAGAAAGCTGTTGGAACAGGACCAAATCAAGGCAGTCGAAAAACAAGGAGTGGTCACAGATTTGGCGGTATAGCAGTGATCAGGAACCCCGTCGGCTAGTGCATGAAAGCGGTGACCCGAGAGATCTGCTGTCGCTAGATTCTTCTGACTCCAGAGTAAGGCTATAGAAATAGCGATGTGATATTTAACCCAAGAGATACCGGAAAGAAGCCAGAGCTCTCATGCGAAAGCCAAGTTCGATCGATATATCTATATCTCGAGCATTACCGGCGATACGGCAATCCAGAATGACGAGTTCCTAGCAACTCTCAGCTCTCACTTTTCAGCTCTCAAGCCCGCGTCATGCCAGTAATTAAGTGGATGTGACCTGAGTAATGTAGGCGAGATTAGGTTGAGGGACAGCCGGGCGGCGGGATGCAATGGTGAGGACAGGTGTGTACAAGAGAGAATAAGGATTGTTGTGGATGCTAGAAAGCAATATCATAGGCTTAAGGATGTTTGATAGCTAATGAGCGAGGGAGAGGAAAAGAGAAAAGAAAGGAGAGTCGGCGTCGGTGAGCAAGGAACAGGGCGAACCAGCTCGAAAGAGACGACGTGGGCGGAATGGGCAGGTTAGCGGGCTTGTTGAGTTGCGCCAGTGAAAGCCAAAGCAATGCAATACAAGAAAAAAGCGGGTAAAAAGGGTGGCAGGTCAACCGTTCCAGTTAATCCAATTTGGGGTAAGGCCAGGCCAGGTCGGGTATTGGACAAGGGTCGGATCGTCATTTCCAGCACAGTAGGATGTGAGAAATGCATGATCTACGCAATAGCTCAGCCACAGCCATCATATCATTCATTAGCCACAAGTGGGTGGAAAGGTGTAAGTAACTAAGTGGTATGATCAATTCTTAACTCACATAGAAGAAACCGTGTCTAGAATTTATCTTTTCACTATTTTTTTTTTGTTTAATCATGAGATTACAGTATATAGTAAAAAACTTTAAAAAAATCATTTAAATTGTGACAATGCAGACTAGCGAGTGGTGAGTTAATAATAGTATGCATCATGTATTGAATGAGAAGCTGTGGCGGTGCAGATCCTAAAAATAAGCACCATTCACATGCGATACATTGTCGTCCAATCAAATCAGCCTACACCAAATTTTCGAGTAGGAGCCTCGCGCAGGCCCGCATGCCTCTATCGTAGGCTCTAGCTGCGTCGGCCCCAACAATTACTACTAGCAAAACGAAAGCAGCAGAGTGAGGCCCTGTACTGGGGGGTGAACGGGCCAAGATGATTCAATTAAAGGTAAGTGGAGAGCAATGTTCTCATTACAACTGGGCTCTATAACTGATAGTGATACCAGACTATGCTGAACTGCATCGACAACTCGGGCGCTGCCATTGTCGAATGCGCCCTGATTGTCGGTCAGAAGAGGCACGCAACGATAGGTACGAGACCAAACCGCCACCCTCTTCCCTGACCTCAGAGCCAAAATCGCGCCATCGTCGAACCCGTCTCGCGTATACCCGTTCATCCGTAGCCGTATCTCCCGGTCCAGCCCCTGACGATACCACCGAGTCTCAAGCGGCCTCATTCACCTACCGTCCCAGGCTCCCACCGTATCCCCACTGACGGTATTTCTTT